TTCAATTAACGAGAATAACTTCTGAAAATAAATTTGCGGAAGCATCAGCTTTCACATCAACATAAGCAATTATACTATTAAATTACACCCACACAGAAAGACTAGCCGTTCTGAGCCAGGAAATCTACTTTTTAAAAGTCTTTCCTGTTGAGTTTTGGACCAGATTGATTAAAAAATATGGAACGAAATTTATGACAAATAAAAGAAGGGAACTTTTGCAACGATCCTGCCCTGTTGGTCCACTACAGCTGTAACCTTTCAGAAATGACTTCAAGAACAATCGATCCAATTGTTGAGAAAATATCATTTAAAAATGTTCATAAAATCTGCACTGTAAAATAAAACAGTAAAGAGCTTAAGAGGCAAAAACATGACAGAGATAACCTTATATTGAAGGCAGAAAAAATAACTTGTATATAGAATATTTTACTGAACTAAGTTACACTACTTTTCAAACGTCCAGTTGTTTTTTATAGTTGAAATAATTTCATTATTTTTTTATAGATTTAAATGAGTAGAATATCTCAAAATATTTAAATATTTCAACATAAAAGTTTTTATATATTTTCAACTGCTATACTACATTGTAAGGTAAGCAATATTTTTTTTGTCCCATCACTTCATGGAGACCATAAATCAAAATGCAAGCTCACAAAAATTTCAGGGGAAAAAAAAAAAAAAAAATAATAATAATAAATTTGAAAGCTGTTTGAACAGAAAGCATGGAACTTTGCCCAGAAATCACTTCTTCTTAACATATTTCTGTTCATTTACATTAACATGGAAGCAATATATAAATAGCAAATTTCTTCAACACAATTATATGAATAAATATTGATTATCTACTCATCAACTGAGACCATTTCCAAAATTTAAATGTGTGCACGACCAGATTTTAAGACTGCAACGTTATAAAATTCTGCACTAACATTAACGTTGCATAAGGTACAACTGAATACTTAAGGCCAACAAAGTGAAATGAGCATACTCGCAATGTACTTTTTTTTTTATATATTCTGCACGTGAAAAATCATTAAATGCTATTACTCAATTTAATAAAGGTCTAAATCTCTAGATTTATATTCCAATATCACAATACCATGAAGCAAAATATTTCATCAATAAACTTGTATTACTGTGAATAAGCACTTCATCTTAAATTTGAGAATCATGAATTACTCTGTTTTTATTTACTTCAGTTTTCCTCTAAGCCCAAGTAATTTCAAGAATAACTATGTAACTAATTATAGTTAAAACTTTCAGATTCAAAATTAGAAACATCATACACCAACTTAAAATGCAGAGACACAGCAATTCTATACATCTATGATTCACCACAGAAATGTATCACTTATAAGGAAAATGATAACTAACGAAGAAGGTAACATTTACTATAAAAGAAAACAACAGAAAATATAACAGGTGCAATACTCTGGAAATCACTGTACACATGACAATCTAGAAGTAACTCTCTTTATTACAAACACAGAATAACAGCCATATTTTCCAGTTTCCTAATAAACATATATCCAATGAGTTTCACACAAACATATTACTCATATGAGTTCTAACCAACTTCATTGAATGGTACCCAATCAGTACAATGCAATGAAACAAGATTTTAACAGAGAAGAGCCCAATGGGTGCACAGATAGTTATCTATTACGAGAAGCAACACTGTTTACATAAATAATTGAAGCAAGACTTTCAAAACGCAATTTCCCTCTTAAAAACGGATTCTAGAACCACATCACACAATGTTTTTGTAAGCATCTTCCATTCACTACTTAAATTTTAATATTGTTTTTATGTAATGGAATAACATTCAAAAACCTTATTCTTTCCATGTATTAATTTTAATATTAATACACTGGAAGAAACACACTCTCAAATATTCATGAGGTACTTCATTCAACATCACAGCAATGAATTCTTGATTTAGGAACAAGACATTAAAATACACATATATACTTGTAAAGTTATAGTCTCATTGTCATCTACTATTAGATGATATATTGGAGTTTGAATTATTAAGTTTATCTTGCAAGTTACTTCTTACAATAAATGAACAAACTTTCCTGTTTTCATTTTGTAATGCAATGTCATTATTCTTGCTGCAATTTCCTGCAAAAATACAACCCATACATTAACACCAGATCACTGTTACCATTTATTTCATAATCATAAAAAAATATACGAGAGTATGACAGATGGGGAAAATCTAAATGAAACAAGATTTGAAGAGTTAATATTTCCGAATCTTATTAGCAAAAACTGGTAACTCCACAAAAACTTAGAGTGAAACAGAAAAACCTAACAAATGCACTGCCATCTTTTGGGCACATTACACATCTCTATTACAAAGGATCTTTCATTTGATAGATGACAGATTGTTTTCCAGATATTAAGAAAGAAAACTGCAAACAATCAGGAAAACCATTAAACTGAAACAAAATCACGAAATGAAAAAAATCATAATCCAAAGCTAGGATATCTGCAAAAGTACAAAGCAGACCAATTCATATTGTCAACAATGTTTCAAAATATGACCAATTCTGTATATTTTGCTATGCTTTATAAAGCAACACTCTCAGGAAAATAGATGCAATTTTTTAAAAGAATTGCAATTAAAACAGCCCTCAACGGATAGAACATACATTCCAAGAATTTCATTCAAAGAGCAATAGAAATTAACAAAAATCTCCAATTATCAGGAGGATTAAACCAACAACTGCACTAGCAAATCATGAAACTGAATAAGTAATACTCGTCAGCCCGGAATAGTTTTTGCTGTATAAAAAAACTTCTCTAAATTGGGGCATTAGAAAAACATTGAAACATATACCAACCCAAGGAATTTTAATTACAATGAAATTAAAATATTATCTAAAAACAGATTTGTAAAAAGAAGACTCACATTTAAAAAAATAGGTATAAACAAGAAATTTAGTATTGTGTAATGACCTAATTTTTTTCGATTTCATTAATGTTCATTGATTTACGTTTGTAATTGCACAATTTCTATACATGTTTACATTTTGGTCCTTAACTTCACCAATAAACAATATGGACACTTTTCAATATAATATTTCACACAAAGAATTGCTAATAAATAATACTACCTACTCAAAACATCCTGATTGAAGAGCACATTAAATCTTCTCCCTCCTTTCCTTGTGTTACATATTTCAATTAATATAACAGAAAGAGATAATCACAATTATAAACCTGACAAATATTGAATATTAGTACACCTTTTCTTAAGGCAGTAAGATGAACTACTAAAACACTTTTATATGCACACAAACTATTCAGAAAAAAGGAAATCTTTAAATGGAATGATAAGATAAATGGAAATTTTTAAACCCACGTTTATAACGTCAAACATTTTACTGAAGGCAAGTACTAAAATACACCAAGGTAAATTTAATAATCATAATATTTTCTGAAATAATGAGTTATATGATAACTCGCTGCTTTGAATTACAATTCACACTCAAACATCCACTGACATAAAAATATATTCTTCTACAACTTCTATGCCAATGTGTGAAATACATATGTATAATTTAATACAACATTCTGTTAGGTAACAATTTTGTTTGTATAACCAGTAACTCTGATATTACAGAATACTTGACAAGAGGTTAGGTGCAAACTAATTTTTTTAAAATTATGCCTGCCATAAGACATTTGAAGCATATTTAATGGCAAGTTCCAATGTCTATCAACTTCAATAATCCTAGGCTGACAATTTTGCTATCACATTTATCGAAACAAGATTGGTGAGTATTAATAAAAGACGTTAATGAGTTTACAATAATGCAGAATTGATAAATTTGAGAAATGCTAATGGCACAGATAACATCAGTGAGTATCCTACAAAGTAACTTTTATATCTATTGGCAAGATAACTGACGGAATCAAACGATTGATTCAGTAAATTTTAGTCATTATTTAGGAAGAATATTTCAAATGTTTTGAACTACTAATTAGTGATGTATGTATCAATTAAAAGAATGACAAATGTATTAATTATGAAACTATCTAGACTACCAAAAACATCTCAATTCTTCCAATTACAAAGCACCATAACCTAAATAATGTGATACCAATTCATTTTGTTGCGACTAAATTTGTCCCAACAGAAGCTAGCGTATGTTGTTTACTAATCATTTCTTTTTTTCATGGAATAATCCAAATCTCATTTTTGAGTGCAGCTCTGAATGCAAAAACTTCATAAAATGGAAAATTATGCTGTACGTAGGTACTTGGGTACATGCCAAATAAAGGGCGTGTGTTTAAAAAAAAAAATCCAACAGAGGACACCAAAAACTCTTATTATCTTTCATGAACAATTCACCACGAAACTTATTCCAAATAAAATAGAAAAATATTTTCCATGGACTACAAGAATAAACAAAACAATTAAAAATGGTGAAAATAATGAATATTTCACATAAAATTAGATTTACTTTTGCCTTTGCATCATTTGAATAACATGTTATTAGAATCAACAAAATAGCATCCTTATGTTTTACATTTAATACCAAAAATACCTTTTCAACCAACATATGTGAGCTTGGTGTGTCATATGGAATGACAGATAATAATCAACTAACAGGTACACAGCTACACAAAAGCGAACGTAATCAACTAACAGTTATTGTTTTACTTACTTCATTGCCATACATGCGCTTTCTAACACAAGTTCAACCTTGGCACGTCCAGTACCTTCTATATTCAAGACACCTCAAATGGCATGTCATTTCCCAAATCACATTTAAACACTTTCAAAAAGCCTACACAGTTCATTATCTGATGAACGTCAACGCATTAAACAACAATATCACTACGAACACATCGATCTACACGTATCAATACTGTGAGGTACACTCAAAACCTACAAAACGATGACTACGGCAAGATGAATACATAGCTTATGTTCGGTAACACCGAGACACTCTGCAATAAAATGGCAATCATTGACATTTTATTACCTCCAGCATAATGTGATTTCTTTGTAACTCCATTTTCAACATCACCGTCCAACGGTCTTTTTCTAGAATCTTGAATTTCTGGGGATGGACACGTATCCATACCCGAGTCCGCCGCCATATTGGACTGCACTATGTCCACAGCTGTATTCCCCACTGCTTCCATACTCTCTGACTGTATTCCATCCATTGCACCTACACGTAATTTACCATGGAAGATCAACTTCTACCTTCATTTACATGGAAGATCTAATTCTACCTTCATTTGTTATTCTATTATGTACTATCCTTGCTCCAACTATAACCCAATCAAATTTCAGTTATTTAAGCGGTACTATGACAACCACTAACACACAAACGCCAGGAAATGATCGAAAAAGATAGTTACAAATACATTTTGTGATACGGTGTCCGAGTGAATTCATTCTCCTACGACTTCTTGTTAATAGTCGGTTTTTTAGTATCTTGTAGCGCTGTGCATTAATGTTATTTTTGTTAAATCACAATGTTTGAAGATTGTTCCTTTAATGCTGTAAGTTTTAAATCAGAGGTAAAACAAACAAGGTAAATGATAGTAACATATTGACAAAAAGTATTAAGTAGATTAATAGTTAAAATAGAGAAATCAAAATGAGTGGTACAATACTTATTCTACCCAGTGATTTTGTGGGTGGTGTATGCTAATTGTTATGCTAATTACTCTGATAATTTGCACATATATTTTTCAGTTTTTACCCGTTTTTGTAAGATAGTTGATAAATATTTCATTATACTTATCAATTGTTTCATTTAAATATTTTGAGCTAATGGTGAGTATGTAATTTGGTGTTCCTGTTTTTTGTACAAAAAAATTGGACATTAGGTGAAGATAACTGCCTATGAAAAAAGTTTACATTTTTTACGTAACTGTCTGAATAAGCTGTGTTACGTATTATTTTTTGTGGTTAAGAAATGGCTATTAACTGAATTCATACATCAGCTCACATCCTTAATTTAATACTAGCGAGAGAATTGGGAGCTATCATTTTCTTTCAGACAGTCTACAGATGGAGATACTCAGACAACTCCTTGTAGTGTTCAAGATGCAGCAGAACAAAGTAGAGAATTTTCGTCCAAAATGGTAAATTTTAGGGTAGTTTTGTAGTCTCTTTTCATTGCATTTGACATATCAGATAATCATTTTCTTTGTTGAGATTTACACAGTAAAATTGAATCATATGTGACTAACAGTCATTAGAACTATAACTGTTTAAGCACTATTATTATTCATTTCTTATTTTGAGGGACATGCAATTTTACTGAATTGATAGATTTTAAGCATTGCATGTAAAAAGTTTTCTATAACCATGAACTTATAGAATTGCTTCTGCACACTTCTGTTGTAACTTTATTGTGGAGATCCACTGTACCTTATTTCTGGAGTATTTAAATGAATATTGATAATATTACTTTCTCAGTTTTATTATTTTTACATCTTGTTATCACACCTTGTTTTATGATAATGTGTTCTTTCCAGTTTCATAACTTTTAATTTTTTACGTACAAATTTCCAATCTCATATTTAAAAAAAAATATTTTAGCAGATCAATTTGTTTTATAAAACTTTTTCAGGTGCAGACTGAGGAAATTCAACCCAAAGCAAACGTACAGTATGATGAAATAAAGCTATCTGAATTTCTTAAAATGAAATATCCTATTTTGATCAAAGAATTAAATTACCCTAGTCCACTACTTGGAAAAATTGAGGATGATGATAATGATTTTTCTGAAAAAAGTAAGAAGTTGCATGAAATTAAATCTCCGTTCAAGCTAAGCAGAGGTGAATATGTAAGTATGATTGTAAAGTATTACTTTATGCGTAAAAGAAAAACATGTTGAATGAATTTTAGAAACTGCTGAACATTCCTACAGGTGCGAGTCAGTGCTTCAGTGTGGAAAAAGGATAGCAATATAGTATGCTTTGGCTATAGTTATGATCATGAAGATTGGTGTTGTCACACAAGTATGGTTCATATCTATAGCTTAAATATGTAAGTGTCAAAAAGTTTAAGTCATAGGTGAGAAATGAATTATTTATAGCCAATTGTAGGAGTTTGGTTACACATAGTGAGAACAATTGAGGACATTGTTTGAAATAGACACACCGGCCTGTATGCCCTTTCTCTTATGTAAGTGTAGATCTACATAATTAATAGGAAGTAGATTTCACATTTAAGTTTATGAAATTGATGAACACACAAATACTTATCTAATTATATATCTAGCGTTTCAATTATTTAAATCATCAATTACATCTATATACATGATACATAAATGGTATTGAAAATCTGATTGAGATGAAGTTACTAGACACAGCTCCACACTTTTTCAAACACGCAAATTTTCAAGTTAGTCAGTATGGGTTTCAACATTTCTGAGGTAATATTTCTCAATATTCTGTAGAAAGTCATTGTTTGATGAACAACAGAGTAGCTAGAATTATACATAAACATCATTTTGGTTTTAGTGCTAATAACTCTCAAGGAGTTACACCAAAGGTATTAGAAACACCATCATGCATTACAAGTTTGCAGTATCATCCTCATCTTCCAACGATATTAGCTGGAGCCATGTTTAATGGTTTGTATTGATTCTGTGTATACATGTAAATGTTATTAACACCGAATGTATATTAATATAATAGCCTACCTATTCAGGTGAAATAATAGTTTGGGATTTACATAGAGAGGAACCTGTCATCACTAGCTCTGCCTCTCATAACAAACAGGGTAATGGGCATAAAGATGCTATTTCCCAAATATCCTGGATTCGCAACGTGGACATTAATCAGGAACAACCTATGTTGGTAACAGCAGGATCAGATGGCCTTATGATTTTATGGCACTTTAGTCCTTTTTCATGTGATCTTAGTATGTTTGCAAGGTATGACTGGACATTTGTACATTTAAAGTTTCAAATTAATTTATAATTGTGAAATATAATTAATATAACATGGATTTCACATTGTGTATAACTTAAGTTTAGCGATTTACTGACTTTATTTTCCCATACAATTGAAAATAATATATTTCTAATAAAATGAGAAATATTGATTGTGTGATATTTCTGAAAGAATCAAAAGCTATGAATTGAGAAGATACTGAAACAGTGGTATTAACATTGCAGATTTTTGTTAAAACCCCCTCCTGCCATTCCCAATAAAAGTGCTAGGAACCTCATGTATGGTTTATATGAAGTGGATTTGGGGGTGACATCTTTCAGTTTTAGTCCTCGTGATCCAAAATCATTTATTATTGGAATGGACAGTGGTGATATTTTAAAATGTGAAATTACCGACATGTACATAAAACAAGCAGAAAGTAAGATCTTTTATTATTCATTCATCAATGTTGTATCCAATGTTGCTCTTGATTTTATTACCATTAACATCACAGTTACCTTTTATATACATAGTAATTATGAATTGCCATTTTAATTTTATTCACAATACTTTAAAACTAGGAGAGATGCACATTCTTGAATTATGTCCTGTAACTGGATACTACGAACGTCATAATGCATCTGTTACGGACGTCAAACACATGAAGCATGAATCTGGAAGGCTACAAAAATTTATTACATCAGGTGTTGATAAAGTGATTAAAATTTTTGAAGAAAACCAGGTAAATTTTATACACTTCAATCATATTTGTTGGCATTGCTTTACACTACATTAATATCCTAGTTTATATTCATATAATATTAGTTATGTTAATATTCTAGTTTAGTATTTTCTGTTAAGTTAGAATGCTTACTTGGATTTGTCACAGCACTTTTAAAAATGTCTCACAATATTGGAGTGTAAATGGCCCACTGAGGCAAATAGCTGTATCATGAATATCTTTTATAGATGAACCAATTTTAAAGTTATACCATTTCAATATATTAAACTTTAATCAACTTGTTTCTGAGGTACTCTCCAATGATTTCTACCACTTACTCTTACAAATTTTAATTTAATTTAAAATATTAAAAAAAAATTGTCAGAAACAATTTGTATTGTGCAAAAATCGGTTGTTTCAAATCAGGAGTGTGAACCATTTTTGTTGAAATCATATTTCTCCTTTTTTTCCTCCCCCCAGGATATACCCCTCTGCATATTCCATTGTGAAGAAGTTGTAATGGGGCTCACATTTTGTGACATAGAAGAGCGTGTTTTACTTGCTTGGGGAAGTCAAAAACTTCACTTTTTTGATATATATACTCAAGAACTTATTGAATCTCCTGTATTGGGCAGTGAATTACGTAATGTTAGAAATACATCCGTGAGTTCAAACAGGTAAGGTGGTGTAATATTTTTTGCTCTCATTACCTGACGGTACAACTACCAGAACTGTCTCACTTAGATTTTTCAGCAATTACTGTCCCCATGGTTTACTTTTTAATCATCATTGCCCCAGAAGATTTCCAAAATAGTGCATGAAACACTGAAATAAATGCACTTCTTACAGATATTATGTTGCTATTTTACTTTAAAATTATTGCTTCGACAAGATACATTGACAGCAATGCCTTTTAATTTCTGTCCAGAAGACTCAAGACTAATAATTACTTTAAAATAAAGCAGTGTGTCAAAATGTTATCCCTAACTTCGTAAGCAAGTTGGCTTCAAGCAATTTTTCACTCATTTCTAAACCAGAATTATTTGAATATATTGCAAATAATTTCAGAGGCAAATGGAGAAAAAGAAAACGTGGATAATAGTATCCTGTTCTATCAATAGAATCTGAATTGAAAATTTCTTGCGGAAAATTAATTGACAATCAGAAAATGTGCTGAGGATGTTTCTAATCCCTGTGTTTATTTCTATTTTGTAGAATATTATGTAGACAAAATAGTACGAATGTAATTTTAATCCTTACTAGAGTGAAATTTAATTTGCAAGATATATTAGGTTGTAAATAAAATTTTAACTATCATGTGTGTATAATACAATAGAAACCATAGTTACCTACTTTCACAGGGATAACAATAAGAAACAATTATAATTTTAAATGTGCTGAAGATACAATGCACAAAATTAATTGTTTCTGCCAAAATTATTACTTTGTACTTTGAGCTAAAAACTAATCTCAATTATTGTATCATTCTGATGGGTTGTTTCTGTTGGTTTTAAAATTAAAATTAATACTAACCTGTATGCAGTATTTGGTTTTCTCATAAAATTTCAAATATACATCAGAGAGATTTGTAGGCAGTTTTTTAAATCTGAGGAGAAGATGGTGTTTTAATTTTTCTGGTCCGAATGTTAATTACACTAAACATCATTTTCAGACACTGTCATTTTTAATGTCTTTTTTACTGTAATTTTTAAATTTTTAATGTCTATAGCATGGACGTTCCACACAGATTTCGAAGCTTTTGTTGTCCTTATCAGGACAGACATTGAAACAGTAAATATTAGACCTCTTTCAAAAATTATTGTATTTAATTACAAGTTAACTGTACCATAAAGTATTAAGCAGTGTAAAAGATACTACTCCATCCATCATATTATTTGAGAGGCAAGTTTGCCTTACGTTTCATTATATAAGAACTCTGTTTGAGACATTTGTTTGTAAAGGGTGTGAAAGCAAAAACAATTTTTACTTTTTTGGTTAAAGTATCAGTAAAGCACATAGGGTTTTGAAGCATTTTCAAAACCTTCAATATCAGCAAAGCAAGACTTAGTTTGCTCCCATTTAAGAGCTATCCAATCCCAGTGGAATTTGTGGTGGACAAAGATGATTAATGGCACTTTTCCTAGAGATGATAACTATAATGGTGATGGAGCAATGGTGGAAAGAGAGGCAGGAGAAATAGAAGAGCCCCAATAAAAACCTCCCAAGAATTTGCTCTGTACACTTGCAAATTCTATGTAGATGGGCCAAGGATTGAAATGGAACGGAGGGTTTCCTGGGATTCTCCCATTTCCCTTGCCTCTCATACCATCATAGTATCCTTCTTCAATTACATCACATCTCAACGCAAACCCTTTACTGAGGAGATCTGCACAATGGTCATGTTAAGGTTATAAGCTTCAGGTCTTTGACTATAGATATCTCACCAAAAAGGCATGCCATACAATAAATAGATTAGAAATATTACCGTTTGCTTTGGGAGTAAAAAACAGTAAAATATTATAGTTTGTTTAAAGTTTAAAATGATTTTAAGTCCTTTTAATAAATTAAGGACCAAACCAACAAAACAATGAATTAAATAAGTTCAAGAGATTTCAAAACATCTGCATAATTTTATGTTTTTCCTCTGTGGGTAATCCAGTGCAATATGTGATAATTATGCCAGTTCATATTGATTGAAATGTTTCCTTCATTTTGGTCACATTGAGGTATATTAATAAAAATATGTTTCATACAGGAGGTGTATTATCGCAATGGGAAATTCGCATGGTATTGTCTCCATCTGGCAAATCACTGGCATTATTAAAGGGGAATAATTCTCAGCATTCAAATTAAACAAAGGGTATTTATTATCAGTATTTAAACTATTTTGCTATAAGTATGTCAGTGTGATTTATATAATTTAATGGTTATGTATTGTATCTATACAAGACACAAAATTGTATATAATTTTTAATTATATACAATTTATAATTATATAGTCTTGTAAGTAATTTATCTTTTATTATATCAATAAATATATACTTTTTTAATCAATAATCATGACTGACATTATTTTGTGGCTATATTTTCTCAAGAAAATGCAATTTAAATACTTTATTTGTTTCAGCATTTTTGTTTTACAAAGCTGTAATATTATTTCGAACACAATAATACAATGGTGAAAAAGTGTCTTCATGTATATTCTGTCTTTGCTTTATTTTTCTTTTTGCATGTAAATTGAAAATAAAATAAAAAAAAGAACATACACAGATTATTATTCTGAAACAGTTATTTTAAAGATGCTGTGAAATAAATATTATAAACTGTAAATGAAATAAAATATAAACCACTTAATAAACATTTTTAAGAGTTTTTGTTTTTTCACTGTGTAGAAATCATAAATGTATCTGGGGTATGACACTGTACAACACATCAATAATATAACTCTGTATAATATCAGAAGAAAAGCATATATAAGATTATATGAATGTTAGAACAATGCATCAGTTTTCATACAGAATTTATGACCAAACAAATTTACTTTACCAAATAATTTCTACAATTTTCTGCTAAGTCTACTTAAATTCAGTTCAAAAAGTTGAAGTTTGGATTTGATAATGGATCCTGACATGTTGATGTTAGTTCATCACATGCTAATCCAACAGCACAGTGACAGTATTGGACAAAAACATTGGTGTAATCAACTACTGCTCCATCCAAGTAGATGACTGTTGTGTTCACAGGCTGAGTCTGACCAGCATGGCAAGGTTCATTCTGTTCCTGATGTGTTTTACATGTTGGAATGCTGAAACGACCCATTCCTGCAAATTTATTTATACATTAGAAATTCATTAATTAGTACGAAGTGGACAATTGTCTGAAGTTAATTGCTAATGAATATGTAAATAGAAAATGTACAAGAAGAAATATTAATTCAGAAAATATTTGAATATTACCCATTACACAACAAGATCCACCAGCACATTCATTACTATCCTGGCAATCGATGTATCGGGGCCGTTGAATGCTGTTGCTGTGGTTTCCCTGAAGAAACACACACAGTAGCAGGAGTGTTCTCCAGTGCTTCAGATTTGCCATTGTTGTACTGCTCCACCCTGAGGATAAGAAATCACAAATTTCTAAGTATTCACTATTCTAACTACTTTTATAAGAGAGTTCTAGTATACTATTTGAAATATTTAAGCTGCCATTATTAACTTCTATTTCCTTGAAGTCGAATACAAGTGTATATGAGATTTTTTTTTTTTAAATTGAACACTAAAACTGCTATTATTAAACAAACCATAATGTTGCTAAACTCTTTTTTAAAATAGTAATTGGAGTCCTGATTTAACTACATAGTCCTCTTTTCAAATCAATGGTTCATTGACTTACAGAACAATAAAATTATTTACTAGTAAAATACCATGAAAACATAACTGATTCAAATGTAACAATGAAAAAAAGCTAAATACAAAAGACAGTATTAACAATTCATATTTTGTCACAGTCTATACCCACAAATAAGAATATTAGATGAAGTTGAAACATGCTGAAAGTGAAACAAGAACCCTTATTTCCATTAATTTTCAAGTAATTATACATAAACAAGTTTTTCCACTACAGAAAATAAACTTTTGGTGCAATTGAATGAAGTTTATGTATTTACATATTCATTAATGTATACATGCAGTTTTTTTTTATCTCTTCTATTAATATGTACAAAACAAACAACAGGGAAACGTTTGCTAAGATACACCACACTGTTACTACCTAAACATCTTAGAACTCTATTATACAACACATTTTGGTTGTACAATGATTTGTTACACCAAGGATAGAAGTTGTATCGTTTTTAAGGCAGAAGTAAATTTTTAATGTATGTCGGTGTTTAATAATGATTTTTCAAAAATATGCATTTGAAAATGCGGGATGCCTGTGCAAAATGCGTCGTCGTTGCGATTTTTCAATCTGAAGTATTTCTTGTTTCGCAAACAACAAAAACTCTTGAAACGTTTAATTTTATTAATGGCGTCCTAGACCATCAAACAGGACTTGTTTTAACTATGATTTGTATTCAAATCTACAATCGTGATTTCGAACGTGGAAGATAATACTCACAGTCGCTTTCTATCCCTCCTTAAAGCCCCGTTCGGAACGAGCGCTCCTTCGGCCTCAATAGCCGTTGTCAACGCGTATCACAGTTAGATACGAAACCAAACAAGTTCGATCAAGAGGTCAGGGCTCCTACCCGCGAGTACGAATGCAGATGATGGGGTCTGCATTTGACATCGCGAGTCTCATCTCTGACGTAAATGAGCAGTGCATGCATTCGAGAAAAGCGTGTAAGTGTAACCATCTATAGAATTGTCAATAACGTGATCAACAATGTTCCTTGTTGGCCTTGCAGTCAAAAGACGATACGACCTCATAAGATGCAATTTTATTTCCAACATCTGACGCCTAGAAGATGTGTCCTTGGGTGCAATATGTTAAAAATGTAAACGCTTTAGTGATATTCTCCAATTTATCTGTCAATCTGTTCAATGAACCCCGGCCGTATATACAAATGAAGGTCAACAGATGCTACAGCTTGCCGTCAAACTGAATGGAAATCGAGGTAGTAGGTCGTTCTTGGATGGCCATGGAGATAGCATGCTAACTGCAAATGAACTATGAAGATTACAAGTTACACAAACAAACACGAGTCCCAATAAGATTGTTTTGCACACTCACCTCTGAAGTTGGATTTCACGGACCATTTATACTACAAAAAGCTTCACATAAACAGCCTAGACCGAGAAATTTCGCGGGTGCCGGGTCATTTCTCGACCTAAGCCGTAACAGTAAGCATATAATACATACAATTCATAGATCTTATTATACAAATGTATCAGAATAAATGTAATGTAAAGAGGTCGATAATGATCAATTTTTGCTCCTGAACAGGTGTGAAATTTCACATGAAGTTAAACACGTGGCATTTCCCCTGATTGCCAGGCAACATTATGCACTTATGTTAGACGGGTTACGTTCTGACACACTCAAGGATAAACTGCCGAACACAAGTACATGACGAGTTGCCTAATAAGGGGAAAATGCCACACGTGAAGTTTCGTTACTATATGAAATTTTCCACCACATTCACTGGCAAAAAGATATCATTTTCTACTCATATAAATGACCTAGAAATTTGTTCTGGCACACTATAAAAATATGTGTTTGTTCCAGCATAATGGGAACACGTGAAGTAATTTCAGCGGAACCGCCAGGCAAAATACCTAGGAAGCTTCGCGGTTCAAATTGCTTTCTATACATTTGTTAACACTACCTGCAAAACATTTAGAAAATACGGGAGTAGCGAGGTGAGAAGGCGCGGGCAGGGCAAGCGATGCGGAGATTCGGAACGGGGTGAACCAAAGCAGGGTGCATCATGGGGTCATGGTGAGGATGTAGTAAATACATTACTTCAATTTTGTATTATTGATAGAATTCATTCCTTTTCATGTCTAATAGATGAGCTTGATAAATATCTTAGCACCGCAGGATTATTTCATCTCATACTAAACGAAATCAAGAGTTAGTAACGCTGGGAAATGGGACGTTTGTTTTGTTGCATCTACTACGACTGTGCCTCCACTGGATGAACGGGCAACTTCACCCCCCCCCCCATCTGTTTCTGTAAAAGTGACTTTTTTCGAGCTCGAAATATTAGCAACCTCATTCGAAAATGTACTTTACAGCCTTCGTACATTAACTACCATCATTTCATACAATTTTAATTCTTATTGGGACCTGTTTGATTAATGAAATTGAACCTTGCAATGAACTCAAGACTTCAGAATATTGAGGAAACTAAACAATAATCAACTTTGGAATTTTTATTGAACAATATTTGTTCCTCAACATTTTACCACATTTTGGGCATGTATGTCCCCAATGGATAATCAAATTAACTTTTTTAAGAAGCTTCAAAACCTATTCTTTCTAATGAGATAAGTTTAAAAGAATTTCCAGAAAAAAAATTCTGTAAAATAAAGCTGAAAATACCCCCCTTTTTTGCTGAAATTAATTTTAAAATTAGTTTATGAAGTAATAGTAAGAACTAGGAGACTGAAATCATGCTTTAATTAATTACACGTAGTTTTCGCATAATTTTTGGTGGAAGTAAAATCAATTTATAAAAAGGTTACAAAAATGGCTCGAATTCCCCCTTCTCTAATAAGAGCAAAGAACGCTGAAAAACTGGCGCAGGTTCCACTCTTGTTCAACTCTGAATTTTCGAAATTTGCAAAAGATATAAATAATGCGAGAAAGTATGTGATGTGGCATGTATAGTTTTCACAATAGGGAGCCACGAATAAACAATACTAATTATAGTTTTCTACTTCAGGTGTAGTCAAAATCCCGTCGGTCGGTCCATCATTGGCGGCTAAACCGTAAGTAGGTTTCACCACAACTGATGCCCGATCGATCTGACGGATCCATGGCCCCTTGAATTTTAAAAGATTATTTTGGTTTTTGTGAATTCTTCACATGAAGCCTTAAGATTTTCAAAATTTTCTCAAAAAAACGTTCCCAATTTGTACTTTATTTTTTCTCCTCACATAGAGCAAAAAAAGGTTAAAGAAATGGCGTAGGTCGCATTTTCGTTAAACCCTCCCAATTTTCGAAATTGCAAAAGTTCAATTTTTTTCGGCGTACTTCCTACAAATACAATTTCGATGATAGACATGTATGCATTTTTCAAAAATTCTGATTTCAACGAAAATGAAATCTGCTTTTTATTAAGATACCTTTACGTTATCCGAGAACAAAGTTCAAGAAAAACATTTATACACATTTTTGAGAAAATAGTGAAAAATGTTGAGGTGTCGTGTAAAGTACCCCCAAAATCAAAATATGTTTCAAACTCGCAAGGCCTCGAGCTCGTTTAGATCGATCGGGGAATATCGGTTTTGGGGAAAATCATCCGAACGGTTTAGGTGCTAACGTATATTACAGATGGACCGTCACGGTTTGCAATCAATCGATTTTTCGGTATGAAAGACGATTGTGACTACACAATGTGTGAGAGAAAGTACTTTACAACATGTAGGAAAAATATTGATTCAGATTTTCGTTGCTAGGGCTAAAAGCTTTTTTGTCAAAAATCGTCAATTTTCGCCATTACAATACCTTTTCTTTATTAAGTAAGGCGAGAAAGGAAAAAATGAGTATTGTGTATTTTTGTTTAAAAATATTTACTCTAACAGTTACAAACAACGCGTAAGTAAGTACACTGCCAAATCAATGTTTTTACTGGAGAAAACATGACGATCCCTAGTACTGAGAGTGTCCACCAAGAGCGCTGAAACCACACGATCATTCACTTGTAGTAACATTAAGATTATAGGAATGGAACAGTTGTGAAATATTATATTACCACTTGTATCCTTCTAATACTTCAGGCAACTCTTTAAATCCAATGTTTTCCAAATGAAGCTCGGTAAAAATTGGAAATAAAATTTTCAAGAGTTCATTCAAATTTAAAAAAAACAACAACCAATGTTTTCAAAAAGTGTACATGAAATAATTAAAAGTTCAAGTATTAAAGAATGTAATGCATTAAGAATCTTTATATTTAATAATGTATATCTTTCAAAAAAGGAACTTATTCTAATTTTGAAATTCCAGAGGTTGTAATGAATATGGGACTTATGCCATATTATTAAGAATTTACATCTACCCACATACAAAAAGAAAAAAAAATGAAGCTTTGTTGATAAAATCTTGTTCAAGTATATTTAAAATATTATGATTTCACTCAAAAGTGCAAGGAAAGAAAATGTGGCCCTTATTTCAGAACTACATCTAGAAAATGAAGAACAAGCTCGCTAGCGAGTTAAGATTTCTTCACACATCATTGGTATAACCCACCTGTGTGAATTAATCTCGTATGCTAGAAGCGATATTGAGAATTTCCAATTAATTTCTACTTTATCAATACTATGTTAACGTCTGTTAAATCATACTATGAGTAATAAATCTTGACATTCATCAAAACACTTAAATTAAATAAATTGAGTGATAATGATACTGACATTTCGGTCAAAGTTATGTTGTGGCCATGAGG